GCATTCTGGTACACTCTGAGGAGAAAATAAATAAATCTATTACTAGCCGACATATTAATAATATTTTACGCCAATGTTTGTTTTTCACTTTGTTCTGACATCTTGCTGAAAGAAGAGTAAAGAGGAGAGAGTCTGTGTGACTTACTTTAAATTGTGGGTAAGGGTAGATAGCTCCCATTGTTCTGTGACCTGTCAGTCATCAGACCGGGGGTCATACAGTATTTCATTGTGTGTTCATTTGTATCTGAAGTTATACCCATGGATGTATAAAGAAGAGTTCTACCGCTAAGTTATTCTCCGTGGGGACTTCCGGCAACAAGCTTGATTCTGATTGGCCAGAAGACTCGAAAAAACATCAGCAAAGATGTTTTATTGAGAAGATGATCACTACTTGGCAGAAGTTTTCAAAACCGTTTATGGTCTCCGGTACTTCCCGTCCAACGCCGACTGCATGCACAGCGTTAGAAAATCGGGCCTTCAAAATAAAAGTTTGACTTTTTTTCAATTTTTTTTTCTTCACTCACACATCCGCGACCCACTCTAAACGGGTCCGCGACCCACTTTTGGGTCGCGACCCACCAGTTGAGAACCACTGGTTTAGAGAGTGAACACACATACTGTACACAGAGATGCTGTATGAGAAACCAATGTGAGTTTGGAACATTGAACAATTTAAATATATTCTAGTAGACCTCAACAATGGAATTATGATCAGTAGAAATGGCCATGTCATGGGACCTTTATTAATAACACTGTTTTATTCTGTAACCGGATGTTCACAAAATTGTCGAAACACTTGACTTCCTGTCTTTTCAGACTGTTTTGGTAGCATTAGCATGTAGCTAATAATATGTTTTGTACGTACATTTAAGGAGAAATTACAAGTGGTGTTGCACACTAAACACACTGTCTTTAACCCTCACTTATTGACGCTGCAATACTATTATTAGGGAATGTTTAAATGACCAACAGATATTAGAATATTGTAAAACTAACATCAGAAAACGACAGGACGTGCCTTGAACCCGCCCCCATCAACGCTAAGCCAATAGGAGAAGACTACAGATGATAAAACGGGAAGCCAGCAGGAAGTCGGTCTCTTTCCCCGCTGTCCATCAAGGATAGTGGACGAAGGAGCACTCGGGCCGAGTCGCCATTTTGCAAGTATCATCGTATCATTGTTTTATTAAACGCTGTTAACATGTAAATAGGCTTCCTGGACTCTTTTCGGGTAATCACGGGCTCAGGGCTAAAAAAAAAACTACAATAGATACAAATATGAACCTGAAAACTAACAGAATAGGACCCCTTTAAAGTCTCCTTTGGACACAAAATGGTGTGTTTTTAGTTTTGAGACATCAATGGCCACCGCCCCAGCCTTATTTTTTTGCAAGGAGAGAGGTAATGTGTGAAAGCGGATGTATGTGTTAACTTAACATGCATTTATGTTGTTTGGGTGTTTCTTAATGTGCTTTTTAATATTTTATATGTATTTATGTCTGTGCATGGATATGTGTGTTTTTCCCTTATGTGAGTGAGTCTACTTGAGTTACTGAGCTCCCAGTGTTTGCACAATTTGTGTTTATGCATAGTACGTGCAAGGATTTGTTCCAAACCTATGCATTTTTTTTTGTGTGTGACCATGTATGTTTGTGTGTGTCTGTGTAATGAGACCCTCTCCACCAGCTGCCACTCCGGAGCAGAAAGCATCAGCAGAGCCTCAGTGGAGCTCACATCCAGACTTCCTCACATTATTGTTTCCTGTGTTGTCTCTCAGGCCTTAGTAATTAGTGGCTGCTTTAATGACTCTAATATCACAACTCCAACCCGCAGTGCACACACTCTAAAGAGGTGGCTGCTGAGTGTGTGTGTGTGGTACGTGATGATTAAGTAGTGCCACTGTGTACGTGTGATGGAGAATGAGTGTCAAGCCGATGAGAGGGTGTTTTATGCAAAGCCTTGATGATCAAGTGCTGCGTAATTTAGTGTACTGTGTGAAAAATAGAGGATGGGAGGAAGTGGGAGTATGTGAAAGAGAGTGCATCAGTATCTACTATGATTTTAGGGAAACAGCCATATTATTCTATTGTTTTACCATCACCAGTATTTTCTAATCCGCCTACCGGTTGACTTTTGGATTTAAAAACGTTTCCTAAAATTCCTTTCAGAGGAGAGTTTCATGTTTGTTGTTCTAAAGAAGTGATAGTTACGGTAGCTGACCCGTGCAAACGCTCTACGATAGCCCAAAACATGCACTGCACTCTCAAAATGATCAAAAAAATACTAATGTGCCAAAACACATGCGAATCAAGGAACATCTTCACTAACCTGACAACACGTACAGCATTTAAAAAAACATTCAACAGCTCGACGAAACATGCGCAGCGTTTATTAAAAGCGCTGGATTAACAAAACGCAAATTGATATCGCTGCAAGAAGGTCAAAACACAACAGAAACAGGGACACTAAAAAGTGATGCACACAGATAAGTGTTTTGTCAGTTAACAGTATTTGAAATGACTAAGTTAGCTACATTAGCTAGCTAGCTTATGGCAGATCTGCAATAATATTGGAAGGAATCATATGATAACATTGTTAAAATAAGATAAAACTTAAACTTTAGGTGAGCTTCCAGTGAAAGTGAGTTTGGCATACTTTATACAGGGTTCCTACTCAAATGTAAGACTTTTTAAAGGTGGGGTAGGTAATTCACTTCAGAAACACTTTTTGTTATATTCCATGGAATGCTCTTAACATCCCGATAGCAATGATTAAATTAAATGCTTTGACAATAAATAAATACAGATATTTCATCTGTGGAAGCCGTGGTACTGTAAAAAGCACGACCAATCATCTTAGCCGGTGTCAGTACCGTATGTGCTCGGGCTACCAGATCTGCTCGGGGTCCGTCCCTTACTAATGACGTCACGCGTTGTGATTGGCTGTACGGTAATCACACGCTGATTGGTGTAACTAGGGGCGCTGACTAGCGTATACGGGAGTCTGATCAAAGACGAGTGAGTGTAGGTAGAGAGAGAGAGAGAGAAGGAGAAAAATAAGAGAAATCGGGGTTGTTAAAATGGTGACCGAGGCTTCTGCTAAGTACAGGAAAAGAGGGATGGAGGAGGGATCAGAGCTCAGGAGACTAGCAGGAGACTGATGTCCAAGAATGAGTCAAAGCAGGACTTGTGCAACCTGGCAAAGTTCAAGAAGTCAGAAGATTGCTCTTTGTAATCTTATCCAGTTCACCTGTTAATACATATTTAAAAAGGATTTTGCTTTGTCAATATAAATTATTTCCCTTATATATTTTACTATCTTATATAGAGGTTCGAAAGGGTAAAATTGCCAATTTAGAAATACAAAACGATGTAGGTTAGAGACGAGTTAAATAAGCTCATATTTGAATTCCCCATTAAAAAAACACATAATTTAGACACCCCCATGTTAGAATTTCCTTCAGATTCATGTTAGCACCTGAGTATGACCTGCCCTATTGGTGTATGATCAAATTTGATTTCTAATTTTAAATAAAAGGTTCACAGTTCACAGTTATTGTTAAACAGGAGTTAAATCAATTTCTCGCTTATTATAAGAATGTATTTCACAATATTCATATTTAAATGATCGGGAAATTACGTTGTAATGATAATAAATCACCTCCCTCATTCATATTAATGTCGATTGTTATTTTTTATGTTTGAATGTTAAAAAAGAACAATCGACAGTGTTGTAGAGCCGATGAATGGGAGTCAGCAGGATGATCTTGTATACACGCTACACAAGCTAGAATGACAACACAACACAGGTGCACTCACTAACTCGTCCGTGGTGCAACACACACTATATAACCCAGTGAATTGTGTCCCGTAATTGTCACCGGTGTAAACATAATTATGTAAATAACCCAATTTGTGTTCTGTGAAACGGAAAAGGATATTACATTATTGTTGTTATTTTCGTTGCAGTGTCTTAAATGTAATTTAGGTTAACTTCCTGTTTTATTTAGAATTATTATTATTACCTCTTGGGTTGCCGTACAGCCAATGTGTGACGTCATTGGTAAGCGTAACGGACCCCGAGCAGATCTGGTACTGACACAGTCTCACGGTATTTCTTGTTATAGTCACAAAATTAATCTATTGATTCGTGTTCACGAACACAATTTCACAATTTTTTGTGTCACACAGAACGATTTTAAAAGCAATGTAAATAATAACCTCTTTTTTTTAAATACAGATTTCAGTATTCTGACAGAACAATTTTAGAAGCAATGTATTTATATTGGTAGTATGTTTCGTGCCTGCACCAAATAATAACACATTAGAAGGAAAACAAGATGACAAAAAATACAGATGTCAGTATTCTGAGGCTCTGAGCCATTTGTTTTCCTCACGGACGGCAAAAAAACTCCGACATTATACAATTTAAAATGATAGGGTTAGGATAGGGTTAGGCTTAGGGTAAGATATTGAGTAAGAAAATGTTTTTATGAACCACACAGCTTCTGGTCTTCCAAGACCCGACCGGACAAAAATACGTGGTGCACACGAAACATGCTACCAATAGAAATACATTGCTTTTTAAAATCGTTCTGTGTGACATGAAAAAAATGCAAAAAACGTGTTGGTGAACACGAATCAATAGATTAAATTAATTTTGTGACTATAACACGAAATGCTGTGAGACTGGGTTGGCCTGTAAGCCTTCCATCTCATGCACAAACTTATCTCGTACCCTCATTGGTCATGTGCGCGTTCGTGTGTTGGAGGAGGGGCTCTGTAAGGAAGTCTGAAGGAAGGGGCAGATTTTTTTTTCGGTTGTGTACTTTCAAATTCTAGTGCACTCGAGCTGGTTTCTCCATTCTTACCTGCCCTACCTTTAAGACCACTTTGAATATAATTTAAGACCTATTTCACGGCAAGAAAGTATGAAGGAAAATTGTTATGAAAGAAGAAATACGTCCCATAATTACTTACAAAGTAAATGTATGACTGACGATGACTGAACATAACAGCATAACAGTACAGAACTGTGCTAGCGTGTTAGATAAAAAGTGTGTGTGAGTGAGTGACGAGCTATATTCAGAGCTCTGCTGCCTTCATGCTGTTGTATGATTGATGTTTAGCTAGGGTATTTAGTGTCCACAGCACCTCTGCTTTTAGGGTTGACTCAGACCCAAACGTCACCCGGAGGTCCCCCGATGTTGTTGCAGGAGCTGCTGCACTAGCTAACGCTACACTAGCTAACGCTACATTAGCAACAGGTGCAGCAGGCTTCAAACACGTTCCCCGCCACTGGTTTCCACCAAGCACTACATTCAATGTTTTCCAACCAAATACGGTTGAACTTACACTTCCCCATATTTATTTGTAAGTAGATTCGAAGATACCTGAGTTTCTGACTACCGCTAGCAGCTAGCTGAAGCTTGGTTGCTAGGTTACTAGCTTGGAGGTTCCATGTTGATTTATTTCAATACAAAGACTATTACGATACTGGTTACTTTGCAGCCCGGACATTTCCCCCAAAACACATTTAGACGCGTTCCCAACACAGAAGTAGCCTACCTTTCAAATCTGATCATTTTTAAGACCTTCTAAATCATATTTAAGACCTTTCTTATTTAAGACTTTTTAAGGCCTTCAATTCTGATTATCAAATGTAAGACTTTTTAAGATCCCGCGGGAACCCTGTCAATAATCCCTGAATGTCAACAGCTGTTAGGGTCACTTTTTAGTGGCCCCTGGTTTCTGTTTCGTATTGATCTTCTTGCAGTCTTTTGTATTTGCAGCATTGCGTTTCTGCATTGCTTTAGTAAACGCTGCGCATGTTTCTTGACGTTGGTGTAGATGTTTCTATATTTGCATTTGTTTTGGCACATTTGTGTTTTGAAACTGCAGCATGTTTCTCCTTATGGAAGTGGTTTGGGCCGTTGTAACGTGTTCACACCTGCCGGCCACTGTAGATCGTTGCCCCTCCCATGTTTTGATTTCCATTCAATAAAGTGTAATTCCACAAAGACAGGACAGATATAAACTCATGAGCTTGAGAGATCGGATGACTTACTTACCCAGAATCATTATACCCGCTAGAGAACTACCCAAAAGTACTAGGAAAATCTCATTAAAGCTTTTCGCTTTCTGATTTGAAAAAGTTTGCAATACAAAAAGATGGGATAAAAGGCTGATGGAAGCAGAATTCAGGCATTCATTATCTGCGTTTGCTCAACAGCAAAAGTGAAGCAAATTTCCTTCTACTATAGTGGGAGCAACTGCCCATACACAAGCGCAGTTGTACTGCAAATGAGTGAGTCAGTGATCCTGCCAGTGAAGGATTTCAAGATGGCGCCTGTGTCGGCATGCCGCTCCCTCAGCTCTCTGCCTTTAGCTATCCTGTTTTTGTTTGTCAGAATGTCCCTGCTCTGCTTGTCTATGATCGCCAAGCTCTCCTCCACCTAACGGGCCCTCCACACTACAAGCGTTTCAGGCGTAAAATTACGCCTCTAGCGCGTCTGCCCATTCACTTTGAATGGGGTGACGTCACGTCCGCTCACGTTTTCGCCGAACTGCATCACGGGAAGGCAAGCGTAACTTTGAGAGCGTCTCGCGCGTAAAAAGTTGAACAATGTTGAACTTTTTACGCACGAAACGCTCTCTCGGTTCCTGACAAGGAACGTTTCAGAAAATCTGACAGCTCAAGCCGTAGCCAATCAAAAACCGCGCATACGCTGGGAGAGATATCCTGAGATATCCCGCCGTTCATGTCTATATTTGAAATAAAATGGACGAGGTTATAATCGTAGCGGTAGCGAATCACCCTGTATTATTTGATGTGACCCTGTTCACATACCGGGATAGAAACCAGAGGAACCAGGCATGGAAGGAGGTGGCAGAGACAGTGGGGGAAACTGGTAGGTTTTTGCCTGTTTGGGGATTTTATATCCAGTTTACTTCATGTTAACATAGCTAATGAAACATAGCCGGTATATTTAGCATAAAATAGCGCCATAGACATTAATCACATACATGTTAATCATCCGCTGCCACATCATAGACTATATTGCATTACATTAATGCACACAATGTCATACTCCTTTCACATTTCTTAGTTATATATATATATATATATATATATATATGCAAAAATTCATTCCTAGCATTCTATTTCCATGTAAATTACTGCTTTATTTAATTTGTATATTTTTGCAATTTACCTGTACAATACATGTTGTGTTTTATATTAGATTTCTTGTTTTGTATATATGCACCATGACATCAAGTCAAATTCCTAGTATGTGCAAAGCTACCTGGCAATAAACCTGTTTTTGATTCTGATAAAGTGTGACATGTAAAACCTTGTATGCAATTGAAAGGGATTTGGTTTTCATTAATGGAGCAATCATTTTCTGAAATTCAAGAAATTAACTGTATTCTTTCATTTTCATTTTCATTTTATTAGACGAAGTGTGCAAAAAGCGTTGGAAGTCCCTCAGGGACCGATACCGCAGGGAGAGGATCCTGGAGAAGGAAGGGAAAAGTAGCGGGGCAGGGGCTTCCGGGGGATCTAAGCCCTGGCGTCTCGCGGCAGTAATGAGCTTTTTAAAGCCCTTCATGCTGGACCGTGAGACGTCCAGCAATTTCCCCCGGCAACCCCTGCCTCCACCCACCGGAGCAGAAGAAGAGGAAGACTCTATGGGTGACAGCCTGGATGACAGTCTGGAAAGCCAGCCAGAGCCAGGTAGCAGTCAGCCGGCCAGTCAGCCGGCCAGTGTGCCAGACGGTGTGCCAGACGGTGTGCCGGCCAGTGTGCCAGCATTCCGGGGGAAGAAGAGCAGGGGAAGGGAGATGTCCCCTTTTGAGGAGAACCTGCTGTCGGCCGTAGGCCCGATGCTGGCCATGCCACCACCACCACCAGTGGTGGAGGTGGAAGACGAGGACCTCCTTTTTTTAAGGAGTCTCTGGCCTGCAATGCAAAAGCTGAGCAGGACGAGCAGCATGAGACTGAAAATGAAGCTACAAGAGGCGGTCCTCCACAGAAATGGACATTAATAATTAATTAATTAATTAGATACTGATACTGATACTGATCCACATTACATCTTTTTACACTCATCACTCATCACACACAACATCACATAAATAAAAGTTATTTAAAAGTATGTTATGGCTATACTGTGTCTTGACTTGTTCATGTGGTTTGTCAGTTACAACATACCAGGAGCTTCTTGTATGTCGATATATAATGTGCTGTCTTCTGTAATTATTCAGGTGAAACCCTGATGAAAATTATGAGTGGTTTATCACTAAAAACAGGGCTGAAGGAAAAAGGTTGTTAGTTATATCATGATATCAATTCAAGAAACATGTTTATTAGGAATGGTTGATTTTAAAATGGCTCATTTGGAATATTTGCTTTTTAAAGAAAATGGGTAGCTCTTAAAAGAGCTTTTTGGTTTGGAGACAAATATGGGCCTACACCACATTTGCCTGCCATCGCACTGCCCCCTCCTCGTTGAAGTAGGAGCAGAAGGTCTCCCGCTGTTGGATGGATTGCCGTGTGGCATTGTTGGAGCCCATCCTCGGTGCATCACACAGGGTTGGAGTAACTTCATCCGTGGACCTTGCGATAGGTGTGCGTGATGGCATATCAATGGTCTTCCTGCGGAGGAAGTTATGCAACACACAGGCAGCCTTCACACACAACTCCGTCACCTCGGGGCTGGTGGTGATGACACGCCTGAGCATTCTCCACTGGGTTGAGAGGATGCCAAACGCACATTCAACCACCAACCTGGCACGGCTGAGGCGGTAGTTAAATAACCTCCTTTCACGGGTGAGGTGACGTCCAGGGAATGGACGCAGAAGGTTGTCCAGCAGCGGAAATGCCTCATCTCCAACGAAGACATGGGGGAGAGGGCCCCGCCGCTCTGATCCTGCGATGACGGTGTCAGGTGGTAGCTGCAGACTGCCGTCTCGGAGGCTCTCTCCAAATGCAGAATTCCGCAGGCTCCCACTGTCGCTGCTCCTCCCAAAGCCTCCAACATCCACTACCCTGAACAGGTACTCAGCATCCACCACAGCCAGCAGTACCAAGGAGTGGGTGGACTTATAATTAAAGTAGAGGGAACCTGCATTTGCTGGAGCCTGGATAACGACGTGCTTCCCATCTATGGCACCAACACAGTTGGGAAACTCCCAGCGCTCCTGGAACCCAGCAGCGATGGCTCTCCAATCCTCCACCTGTGGTACCGGCATGCACTCCTCGACCAGGGCGGTCCAGATGGCCCCCGCAACCTCCTTGACAATGACTGCCACTGTAGAACGCCCGACCCGATAGCTATCGTCGCGTACGAGTCACCAGTTGCCAGGTACCTGAGAAAAAAAGATATATACATGATTACAAAATATATTTATTCAGACCCCACACACACACAGACCACAGATCCCCCCCTCCACACATTGAACACAGACACAGATTGAACACACATTGAACACAGACACACACACATTGAACAGACACACACATTGAACACAGACACACACATTGAACACAGACACACACATTGAACACAGACAGACACACAGATCCCCACACACACATTGATCACAGACACAGACACACACGCCATGTACACAGGGGAGCAATACTGTGTTTACCTAGATATCTTAATTAATGTTACCCATCTGAACTAAATCACAGACTTCAGTCATCATTCATGCATTCTCTCTCCTTCTATACAGAGTCAGATTAAAGAAGTAGAAATACACAAAACGTACCGTAGGCAGATGGCGAGTCGCTCGGCGGGGCCGATTGACATACGCAGATGGGTGTCCACCTTTGTAATCAGTGGGCCCACCTTTCCGAGCAACTCGTCGAACACCTCCTTGCTCATCCTGAAGTACCTCTGAAAAAGGCGGTCATCGAGACGGAGCTCCTGGACGAGAAGGTGGTATTCCCCCCTTTGTAGACGCTTTAGGAGTATCGGGTGTACCCAGAAGCGACGCACACTACACGGCCTCATGCGAGACAATGTATACACTAAATGCAACCTTGCACACACACGAGTTACCCTGCTTACCCTTGCTACAACACCGGCATCCATTTTAGCAATAGTGGAGAAGAACCGGGGTTTTTCACTTTGTATGTCCGGGGCGGGAGATTCACATGGAGATTCTGATTGGTTGTTGGTCGCGGGGCTCGAAGAAACGCCCCAAGCGTAAATCTTGGGGCGTTGGAAGCGAATTTTACGCTTGTAGTGTGGCCGGCCCGTAAGACCCTCACTGGAGTTTATACTGCTGCCCAAACCTATATCTGGCAACCGTAAATCGACTACCCCCCCCCTCTACTGTCAGATATTCCCACCTACCTGCGCCGGTTGCCCTGCATCCTGCCTCACCGAAAGCGCTTTAGGCGACGGGGAAAGCGTGGTGGCGCGCTTGTCCATCAAAAAGCACACCTGACGGCTTCTTCCATGACTTATCCACGCATCAGATGTCATGGCCCTCCCGCTGCACGCCATCCAAGGGTTCGGTGGATTCGCCCTGTCTTTCCGGAGCTGCGGCCTCTGCTGGGCCCGCTGGCAGCTCCTCCTGCCTGACTGACTGCTCCCGGTCCGCGCTGCGTTCAACACGCATATCTTCGTCAGCTGAGACGCACTACACCTTCGGCCAGCCCGGAGAGAAAACTCTGCATGGCTTTGCTAAACGCTAGGTCAATAGCAAACAAGACGTTCCTGTTAAACGACTTCTTCACCTCTCATGATCTGGATTTAATGTTCCTGACGGAGACCTGGGTCCACACCGGCGAGTATGTACCGTTTTCTGAACTTCTTCCTCCTGACTGTACTTTCTTCAGCTCCCCCCGTACCACCGGCCGTGGTGGGGGTATAGCTTCAGTGTTTAGAGCTAATCTCCAATGCCGTTTACTTCACCCAGTAACTAGCTATGCTAGCTTCGAGTTGCAGCTTTTTGAATTGAACCCAGCCTTGCCTATACTCTGCGCAGTTGTGTATCGTCCGCCAAAGTACAATAATGATTTCATAACTGACTTTTCGTCCGGGATCATGGTGAAATATGATCGTGTTTTGATCTGCGGAGACTTTAATGTCCATGTGTTCTGCGAGTCTAAACCTCTAGTTAGGGATTTTTTAAACCTCCTCGACTCTTTCGGTCTCATTCAGTCTGTGGCTGGCCCAACACATGATAAAGGACACACCTTAGATTTAGTATTATCGTTTGGATTGTCTATCTCTGTGGATGAAATCTGTGCAGCCAGGAACGCATATCTCAGACCATTTACGGGTTCTGTTTACAACCTCGATCCCTTCTGTAGGAGTCGAATCACGTGCTCCTGCGCGTTGTCTGCGTTCAATTAACCCCTTGACTGCCTCACAGTTTTCAGATGCTTTTAATACTTATCCGATTTGTAAATTAGAGGTGAACTGTGCTTTTAGTGCGGATGAGCTTATCTCTTTGTTTGATTCGACATGTACACTGATACTGGATTCCGTTGCTCCTTTTACGCTTAGACGCAACAAAGTTCTCTCAGAGCCGTGGCTCAATGATTGTACTCGCGCTTTTAGACGTGCTTGCAGGCGTGTAGAGAGAAAATGGAAAAAGGATAAACTTCATGTCTCCTTAGAAATTCTTCGTGCTTGCCTTTCCGATTATCAGACGGCAGTCAAAGCAGCCAAAACAGAGTATATTTCTCTGTTTATCTCCAAAAACAGCCATAAACCTCAAGTTATTTTTAATGTCCTTAATTAGATCATTAATCCTTGTGATGCTTCTCCAATTGTGCCATCAACTACTCTCTGCGATACATTTCTTAAATGTTTTATCGAAAAAGTATCTGCTCTTAGGCTAGCCTATACTAGTGCTACCCCAGATCCTGCTCCCTTTCTGTGCCCTGCTGTCCTCGACCATTTTGAGCCTGTATCCCTCTCTTCTCTCTCGGAAGTAGTCAAGCACCTGCGGCCGAAAAAACTGCACCTTAGACAGCATTCCCTCTCGCTTCCTTAGAGATGTTTTTGAATCAGTTGGAGCAAGTGTTTTATTGCTTGTAAACACCTCTCTTAGCTCAGGATGTGTCCCAGCTGCCTTCAAACGTGCCGTGGTTAAGCCATTACTTAAAAAGAAAAATCTCGATCCCTCCATTCTCGCAAATTTCAGGCCCATCTCCCAGCTACCCTTTTTATCTAAAGCCTTGGAGCGAGTAGTCTACGCCCAGCTGCAGTCATTTTTAACCAGGCATGGCATCCATGACAAATTTCAGTCTGGCTTTAAACCTATGCATAGTACTGAAAAAGCCCTTTTAAGAGTTTTTAATGTTCTGTTCTTAGCCGCCGACTCAGGCAGCCCAGCTGTCTTGGTGCTGTTAGATTTAACTGCTGCCTTTGACACTGTGGATCATATTATCCTGTTGTCACGGCTTGAACAGTCCGCAGGCATTACAGGCTCTGCCCTTGCATGGTTCAGGTCTTATTTGACGGACCGTAGCTTCTCAGTGCAATTAGGTGCCTTCTCCTCTGCCAAAGCCCCTCTTACCTGTGGGGTTCCCCAAGGCTCGATTCTGGGCCCCATCCTTTTTCTATTGTACATACTGCCCCTAGGTTCAATTCTCACAAAACATAATATCCCCTTCCATTGTTATGCTGATAATGTACAGATCTATCTGCCTTTCAATCAAAATTCCAACTCACTACAGCAGTTGAAGGACTGCTTAACAGAGATTACATCCTGGTTTAGCCAAAACTTCCTCACCCTCAATGAGAGCAATGAGGTCATTTTTTTTTTACCCCAACCAACAGTCTCCCCGGTTGATATTCTGGGCTCCCTCAATACAAATATCTTCCCCTCTGTTATGAACCTTGGAGTGACCTTCAACAGCGCCTTTAAATTTGATAAGCAGGTTAGCACTGTAGTCAAGACCTGCTTTTTCAAAATACGACTATTGGCTAAGACCAAGTCGTTTTTATCTTTTAAAGACTGTTGAGATCTTCATATGAAGTGAATACTTAAAACGAAAGTTAATTATAAATCATATATGAAGTGAATACTTAAAACGAAAGTTAGTTATAATCAAAT